ATCTTTATCCAATCAAATCTTAGTATATTACACAAGTAACATGTAACGCTCATAAAGCTTTTGTATTTATCCGTTACAATGTGGTGGTCCAAATCTTGGTCACCACATGTTTCTGAATTTCAAGTTTAACTTCCACTTTTCTTTTCTCCCTTTTCTTTTTCTTTTTAATTGTCCAATTTTATTTATTATTATTAATTTATATATTTTTATGATGCCAAAAACATTATTAACAACATAATTAAATAGTATATATTTAGGTTTGTGCATGTGTTCACTTGATGAGGACCTAAGATTAAATAATAACATACTTGTTATTATTTAGTAGAAGATAGGGAATATAAATAAATTTGCATCTTGATGAGGATCTAAGATAAAATAATAACATACTTGTTGTTTGTTTTATTAGTTGTTCATCGGGTCCTTATCTGTAGAAGCTACACCTAATGAAATATACGGGTACGTAATCAGTATAATCTTCAGAATTTCGTCCAACGTAGCATAGTAGAAATTGTTCGTGAGATAGAGTGACTTCGATACTAATTTTTGAATGTGGAATGTATTTATTCTCCAAAAAATACAAATAAATAGAAGTGTTCCATCTGGTTCCGCTTTCATGAATAAAAAGTAGGGTAAATTACAACCACCACTAATGTAAAAGTCTATTTACTAGAAAGAACCCTCATTTTTTAGAAATTAAATCTAACCCCAGTAGTTTGTATTTTCTTGCATCCACCCCTACAAAAGGGTGTAAATGTAAGAAATCTACAAATTACAGGGAGTGAATATAATTATAGAAAAAAGAAGAGGTTTTGTACAAATAGACCTTAACTAAAGGGCCGATTGCAACCAAATAAATTAAATTACTTGAAAATTTGTGTTACGCCTACATAGATAGAGGCCCATTAAAAAGAACAAATTAAACAAAAGCCCAATTAGATTAAAGTTCAACAACCAGACAATTAAAACCACATTTACCAAGAAATCTTCGGATAAAATACAGAGTGGGTAATATTTATGTAATTGCTAAATAAAATTATTTTCCTCCCATAAGGTTTAATTTCAATTTTTCAACCTATCTATTATCACACATTAAAATAGTTAAGATTAAAAAATGAAATGAATTTACAAAAAAATATTTAATATATATAAATATATTCTTATGATTATGTAACAAGAAAGGCATATGGGTGTACCTCCCCTCGGAATCAGCTTAAGTAATCAACAAAGTTTGAAATTGAAAATTAGTCATAATCCTTAAGTCAATGAATGTGGATTGATTAGAATTAAACTTTAGTAATAGAAAATAACATAAGTTGATTAAGCAATTATAATATTAAAACTCAAAAAATAATTCAACATTGAGTAAGTATCTTTAGGTGAAGTACATCATAGGAACAATTGGTAGGTGCTACAATAATTTAATTAAATCATAATTTATTTATTGTGGAGTATAGTAGAATGATTAGCTTGTAACAAAAGTTTTAGGTTATGTAGGACCTCAGACGCTACCTGTTATTCTTAAACTTATCGGTATTACGCAAACTCTAGTTTTATAGTGCATTCAGCTCAGAAACGCTCACGACATTCGATTGTTGGCTACCCATGCCCGGACATCTTCACGTGTACAATTGCTGTCAAATTCAAGCTAACATGTTTAACTCACTATAAAATTGGACATCTACTATTAGCTAAACCAATTAACATTAGGATTCAATCAAATCAAGTAATTTGGCATTTGATTCGAGACCGATGCGATTAAAAATCATTTGAGCTCGACTCGATTTCTAGTCAAACCAAACTTACATATTTTTAAAACTCAATACAAATTCAAATAATTTTGGATAATCATGCATTCACCTGCGCTCACTTTATTTACAACCCTAATTAAAATTTAGTGTAAATTACGGTCACTCCCTTGAGGTAAGGTCAAACTACGAAACCCCCCTCATGTTTGTGTAATTACAACCTTACAACCACTCCCCTCAACTATGAGTTTTCTTACACGTTCACGTAATCTTCTAAATTTCGTGAAATGTTCTCGATAACATGGTCTAACATAATATGTTTAAACAATTCTTACGGCAACTAAAGTAATTGTTTATGAAAATATGATGAGTTTTTAATAATTGAGATTAATTAGATACATGGATGAACCACTCTAAACCGTTGGATCGATCATCAGCAATAATGTACCTGTTGGATTAAGAAAATGGTGATATAATTTAATAATAAAAGATGTTGCTTTAGTATACATTGCATGAGCAGTAGTTGAGTATAATTAATTAACTTAATTAATGTTGGATAATTAAGGTACTAGTACAATAATTGAATTGCTAATGACTCTTCTCTTTCAGAATATAATATAGCTAGGCTGTTTTATTTCATAAATCATAACTAATTATATAAGTTATGATTTATATGGTGCATAAATCATAACTTATATAATTAGTAATATATTCGGTTGACAAGATTCAAATTTATTCGAACTATAATAGTAAGAGGTGTAGCTCGTAATTCAATGCCATTTTTCAATAAAATCAGTAGTTACCCTACACCAGATTAATATTCCAGATAGTTACCGAAAATAAAAGAAAAATGTTTTTATATATTCTAAAAAAAAGATTTTAAAATAGGGTAAATTACACCTACACCCCTGAGGTATGTTAAAATAACTTTAAGATCCCTATAGTATTAGGAATTACAATCACCCCATGTAATAGAATTAGAAACCTTAACGGAATAATGTAATGGATAAGTTATGCCGTTAGGGTTGTAAAAGACTATTAGTTTCAGGCAGTGATTGAGACAACATAGAGCTAGGAGTTACATAGCTCTCATAACATTTCTTAAATTCTTATTATTTTATATAAGATTTATAAATTTTCATCTATGGTAGCATTAACGGCCTAGCGGGAAACAAAAATATTGCATATTGGTCCGCAAAACATGAAATCTTGGCTTCGGTAATTGTTCCAGGAGTGTGGTTGTAATTATCAATACCACAAGGACCTTAAAGTTATTTTAGCATACCTCAGAGGTGTACGTGTAATTTACCCAGAATGATATGCTGAAGTATTATTAAATTGAAAATCGCATTTGATACCAAATTGGATTTTAACACTAGATTTATATAAGGATCTGATTATCTTACTAAATCATTAATTAGTTAGTCAATATAGAATTAATTCAATCCAGTCGATTTCTATGTTTGCAAATAAGAGATGGGCTTCTTCACAAGTTATTTATCACAATCGGGCCCATAGTCATTTTCTTTTCGGGCCATCTATAATAATTTATGCTCATTATAAAGTTTAGACTTAACTTTTCTCAAGCCTTTAAGAATTCAAGCCCAAGAATTACGAGTAAATATTTGTGCCAAATACTTAACATAAGCTGAGTACATTGCAGCAACCGAAGCAATCAAGAGAGTTATTTGGTTAAAATATATCTCGAGTGAAGTCACCGGAAAAGATCAAGGTGTCGCTGTCTTTTGTGACGACAATCAAAGTACACTGCACTTAATGAAGAACCCCATATTCCACGAGAAGTCTAAATAGACAAAAGTACGTATGGATAAGATTGGAACCGAAAACAACCCCTCAAATGCACTTACTAAAGTATTATCCGTCACAAAGTTCTTGATAATAAAACGCCATCGTTGTTGTTCATGTGGAT